CCAATTATCTCATAAATGTCATATGTGTTATATTTTTACATTTGTTTGTTGCAATCAGAATACAAATAAGGTCCACTCATTCTGGCTGGTCAATATGTCTTTTTTGTCTCAATTTATAGCTTCCCCGCCTGTATAATTTTTTAAATCAGAATGTATTAGATGAAGAGAGAGAGTTGTTTGTCCTGAAGAATTTCTCAGTTTGGATTTTGCTATTGCATTTCTGAAGTGTTGATTAACACTTTTCTGACTTATTTCCTGTAATTGGTAGTTGGATCTATGTTTAATTGCTTCTTTCCATTGTTCTATCTTCAAGTTCACTGATTCTTTCCTCTCTACTCCATTCTGTTGTTGAGCCCAGCAAGTAAAGTTTTAATTTCAGTTATTGTATTTTTCAGTTCTAAAATTTTCATTTGATTCTTTATCACTTCTATTTCTTTTCTGAGATTCACTGACCTTAGGCTATCGTCTAAATGATTTATTTTATATGTGAACACATGGTAGAGTGGCAAAATATTATGATATTCAGCCTTTAAGGTGGCTCCCAGTGATCCCTGTCTCCTAGTCTTCATGCTCTCTGTAGCCCCTCTGACATTATACAAGAGTTAGTTTGTGTAACCAATAGCATATAGCAGGAGTGATGGCAAATCACTTTTGAGATTACGTTATAAAATATTGTAGCTTCTATCCTGGGCATGCTCTTTCTCCCATGCACACATGCTCAGATCGTTTTCTCTGGGAGAAGTGAGCTGCCCTGTGGTCAGGAGATTAGGCAGTCTTTGGAGGCACCCATGTGGTGGGAAACTGGTCTCCAGCCAACAGCTATTGAGGAACTGAAAACGTACTACCTACCACGTAAGTAACTTAGAAGCATATCCTCCCCCAGTTGAACCTTCAGATGACACTGTAATTCCAGCAGAAGTTTGAATGTAGCCTCATGAGAGACTTTGAACCAGAATCACCAGTTTAGGTGTCTCAAGATTCTGGCTCACAGAAGCTATGCAGTAAGTATTTTTTTTAAAGCTGTTTAGTTTTGAGAAAATTTGTTATGTGGCAGATAACTAATACATTAGGGTCTCCACTCAACTACTTACTAAAAGATTCAGGATAGCCCTGGCCAGTTTTGCTCAGCGGTTAGAGCGTTGGCCTGCAGTCTGGAGAGACCCGGGTTCAGTTCCCGCTAAGGGCATGTACCTCGGTTGCAGTTTGTCCCCAGCCCTGGTTGGGTTGTGCGGGTGGCAACCACTCGATGTGTTCCTTTCACGTCGATGTTTCTCTCTCTCTCCCTCTCTCCCCCTCCCACTCTATCTGAACAAAATATCGAAAAATGTCCTCGGGTGAGGATAACAAAAAAAAAAAAAAAAGATTCAGGATAAGCTGAATAAGCTCATGATCGCGAGTTTCTTTACTTGGAAATTGATGACCATTTTTGCCTCATCTACTTTTCAAGGTTGTTGAGTCTCACATAAAATAAAACATTATACAATATTCATTTTCAAACCTAATCCCCCTATTTTACAAAAAATGGGAAGACAAAAGGAATGAAAAAAATTGACTGATGAGACATTAAGGTATAGAGAAATTACATAACTTTGCCAGGCTTCAAATATTTAGGGAAAAAAAAAAAAAGGACTAACATATCACATGCTATTATCATTACACAGTCACTCCATGTTTCAGGAAAACACACAGCAGTAACTTATGGATTGTCTGTGGTTAATTAAGAGAACTGCATTTCCTCTAAGGCATGTGACAAATGTGGAATACATGCAAGAGGGTCAGAGTTGTTTCAATTCAGCTTTTATATCGTAGAGCCAAAATATGGCCAGTTACTCTTTTCTACTCTTGGTTGCTCTGCAAGTTGTCCCAACATGTTCAATTCATGTACATGGGCACCCAGCCAGGTGAATAACACCATCTCTTTGCACTCAAACCACGTACAATAGGCAAATAATTCCTTTCTTTTAAACCTTACTAGGAAAATTGGTATCAGTATCTTTAAATTACAAATATTCCTTTGTTGTAAAATTTTAGTAAAAAAAAAGCAGTAGTTGACCGAGAGAATAATGAAGCTAACAGTATTTTGAGCCAACAAGGGCAGACAATTTTAGCAATAGTGATTAACCTCAATGGTGTTTCAAACATATTTAAAAAAATTATTTTTCTCAAAAAATAATTTATTTTTTTTATCCTCACCCGAGGACATTTTTCCATTTTTTGTTCAGGTAGAGTGGGAGGGAGAGAGAGGAACAGAGAGAGAGAGAGAAACATCGACGTGAAAGGAACACATTGAGTGGCTGCTACCCGCACAACCGACCAGGGCCGGGGACAAACTGCAACCGAGGTACGCGCCCTCAGCGGGAACCGAACCCGAGTCTCTCAGGACTGCAGGCCGACGCTCTAATCGCTGAACCAAACCGGCCAGGGCTCAAAAAAGAATTTTTGTAAACCACCTCACCTTCTGCTTTACCCTCAACTTCAGTCTACTGATAGGGGAGAAAGTGATGTTTTAAAATGTTGAAAGAATCAGATAAATAAAAACATGTATGTTGACTTAAACTGGAAAATACAAACATAAAATAGTTGTATTGGCATGGTAGGATCATTTTTTTCCATTGTGTTTTTAATTTTAAAAAATATATAATTAATCTATAATAAAACATATATATATACTATGTGGTAACATGTTTTATATGTAATTTATAATATATATTTACATTATGTCTTCAATTTAGAAATTTAAATTTTATACAATATCTGTCTTGACAGAATGGGATTTAATGGATCTCTTGGATTTAAATAACTAGTTATGTTTTAATTTTTCACCCTTCATGTGTACCAGTTAAGATTATTTAGCTGCAAGCAACAGAAACTAACTCTGGCTACTTAAACAAGAAAATAATGTATTGGAAGAGTATGGGAGAAAGTACAGGACTCATAGGGAGACCTTAAAGAAACAGGAAGCAGGCAGCCACTGAGAGTGTCCACTCCACTGAATATAAGGCCCTGCCACTGGAGTAAGTGAACACACGCCAACTATTTCTGTTTCTTCTGTTCAGTCCCTGGGTCTAAGATGCAAAGTCCTTACAGAATAAGATTTTGCTCGGCAAAAGACATGCCAAGCTTGAATGTCCTGAGCTGATGAACTAAAGAGGGGGTTGAAAGAAATCTCCCAGGTCCTCGTCATTTCCATGTAGGAGAGCAGAACACTTTGAGGATCCCATCTTCCCAATGCAGCCCTCAGCAGCAGGCAGATAGTCATCCCAAAAGGAGATGAAAATAGTGAGTAGAAGACCCAGTGCCCACTAAATTGTGGATTCATTCTCACCACTGAACAAGAACTTTGTGAGACATGAACTGACTTCCAGCAGTGTTTTATTTTTATTTATTTATTTATATTTTTTTATTAATTAATTTTTGAGGAAGAGAGAGAAACATGGAGTGAAAGGGACACATCGCGTGGCTGCCACCCGCACGACCAACCAGGGCCAGGGACAAACTGCAACCGAGGTACGTGCCTTTAGCGGGAACCAAACCCGGGTCTCTCTGGACCCCAGGTCGACGCTCTAACCGCTGAGCCAAACCGGCCACGGCCCAGCAGTGTTTTAGATGGACACCCACATATCTTTCCTCATCAAGGTCCAGAGAAGACATGTCATTTTGGTGTGATGCTTTATATAACTTGATCTAATAGCTACACTCAAATTACATGAAGTCCAATCTTCCTTTATTTTTTAATATGTTTTTATTGATTAGAGAGGAAGGGGTGGGGAGAGAAAGAGAGAAACATTGATGTGAAAGAGAAACATGGATTGGCTCCCTGCTGCACATCTCCTACCAGGGATTGAGTCTACAACCCAGGCATATGTGCTGACTGGAAATCAAACCAGGACCTCTTGGTCCATGGGACCACACTCAGTCCCTTGAACCATACCAGCTGGGCCCAATCCTTCTTTAAACACACCCTGCATCTATTACCAATGCCTAGTACTGTGTGTCTAATTCCTTCTCGTCCCAGCCACTTTCCTTTTTGCCTCCTTCTGATGGCCCACACAGCTTTCCCCGAAACATGTTCTGTATTAACCGAGTTACCTAAGTTGTATATATGCACACACACACTTTCTTCCATACCTCTGCCATCCCTGACTTTGACAATTGCCAGACTTTTCTTTTCAGGCAGAAGCCTGGGATGATTCACAGAACTAATGGGCTAATCTGGCTCAAACTGCCTGGGACTGGCTGAGGTAGTCTGAAGGACCCTATTGACTTCATGAACTTTTCTCATTATACCTTCATTATAATACTAAAGTCTACTCCCAGGGGTAGAGATTTTCTGCCATTTTGAACATATGATGTATTAGGCATGCTTGCTAACTACGTGGGTGCAGGAATGTCCCCACCCATCCATTGATGATGAAGCTCACCTTAGTGTTTACGCAGGGTTTCCCTGAATAAAGACATATCCACTTCTTTGTTCGAGATGCAGTGCTCAGGGAGCAATCCCCAGTGTGTTCCTCACTTGCTGGCTTGCAATAAAGTCCCTTCTCATAAAATCTTCTCAGAGTTGTCTTTTGACTGGCAACTACTGAGTAATTGAACCCAGTTTGGGTCTAATAATAGGTGTTACATGAAAATGAAAAGGGAAGGGAACCCACATGTTGAAGAAATACTGATTAAACCAAATCTACAAGTCAAAGTTTATCTAGATAGCTATTAGACAATTCTACTCTGGTTTGAAGATCTTACTTTAAGATCCTTAAAGGTATCCATTGAACCACATATTCTTAGGAAATGAATTCCACATGGCTTTCAGACACAAGTGGCTTAACTGCATTTTTGATAGAGGTGAAAGTGTCAAAAATTTTATTAACATTTAGTTTAAAAAGCTTTATACCCATGGAACACCGAGATATGGGAGTGCTGCTTCTTAAAGAAGTTGCCCTTTAGAGTTTGGTCCTTGGCTTTAGAAGTTGTGAAGCTTTGATATTTTTATATTAAATGCTTTAAGAATTCATTATCTTGGTCCAGGATAGCAATATTGTGCCATTTTCTTCTTCCTTCAGGAGAGAGGAGACACTATTACACGTCCAGGCTCTCAACACATTTTTACCACCCAGTTGGCTCCTCCACATCTATGGATTAGAATTTGCTCTAAATTAGCCTCGAGGTTCCCTCAGAGGAGGATTTGAAGGAGGAAACATTGAAATATTTCTTGAGATGGATCCTAAATGCAGCTTTTTGGTGTGTGTGATAAAACATACATAAAAAAATGATCAAAGATGTTAAATTTTATTATTTTATCCTCACTCGAGGACATTTTTCCATTTTTTTTAATTTTTTTTTATCCTCACCGGAGGATATTTTTCCATTTTTTGTACAGATAGAGTGGGAGGGAGAGAGAGGAAGGGAGAGAGAGAGAAACATCGACGTGAAGGGACACATTGAGTGGCTGCCACCCACACGACCAACCAGAGCCGGGGACAAACTGCAACCGAAGTACATGCCCTTAGCGGGAACCGAACCCGGGTCTCTCTGGACCGCAGGCCGACGCTCTAACCGCTGAGCCAAACTGGCCAGGGCCATTTTAACATTTTTTGTTCCGGTAGAATGAGAGGGAGAGAAAGAAACATCAACGTGAAAGGGATACATCGAGTGGCTGCCACCCGCATGACCAACCACATCTGGGGACAAACTGCAACCGGGGTACGTGCCCTTAGCAGGAACTGAACCTGGGTCTCTCTGGATCGCAGGTGGATGCTCTAACCGCTGAGCCAAACCGGCCAGGGCTCTTTGATCATTTTTAAGTGGGCAGTTCAGTGGCATTAAGCACATTCACATTGCTGTGGAACTGCCACCATCCATCTCCAGAACTGTTTCATCATCCAAACCAAAACTCTGTACCCACTAAGCAACCCCCATTTCCCTCTCTTCTTAGCCCCTGGAAACCAACACTCTACTTTCTGTCTCTATGAGTTTGACTACTCTAGGTCCCTCATGTGGAATCATACAGTATTTGTCCTTTTGTGTCTGGCTTATTTTTAAATGCAGTTTTGTTACATAAAGTGCTAGCCTTACTGTGAGTAAGGATACATTGGGTATAGCTGTTACTTCTAGATCAGAAGTCTTTAACCTGGAGTCCTTAGATGAGTCCTAAGGATCCAAATACTCTTTAAGGGACAAGTCTCCTAATTATAAGGATTTCATAAGAGCTTTAAATCCAAAAGATGCTAATTACTGTTCTGGGTCTTCTCTGCTTTGAGAGCATCCTCTTGGTCTCAAACCAAGATTAGCTGTCTCTGGTTAGCAACAACCACCACCCTGATCATATTTACTGTATGGCTCTGGATTTTGCTGCTGAATCAAGTTTGACACCTAACATAGTATCACTCACTCTGTAAAACCCTAGATCCCTGTTTACCCGGCCACTTAGGAACTTTGAGCTCACCTTCCTCACATCAAAAATATCTAACAAAAATGCAAATCAAAAGCACAATTAGATAGCCATTCTAATGTGTGTGAAGTGGTATGATAAAAAAAAATTTTTTCTCAACATCTTCACTAGTATTGGTGAAGATGTTGAGAAATGGGAACTCTTGAGCACTGCTGGTGGGAATGTAAACTGGTGTATCCACTATTGATAACAGTATGTGGTTCTTCAAAAATTAAAAATAGAATTACTAAATGATCCAGCAATTCCAATTCTGGGTTTATACCCCAAAGAATTGAAAGCAGGAAATTGAACAGATATTTGTACTCCCATGCTCATAGCAACAGTATTCACAACAGTCAAAAAGTAAAACAACCCAAGTGCCCATTGATAGAGAAATGGATAAACAAAATGTGGTATATCCATACACTAGAATATTCTTTGGCCTTAAAAAGGGAAGACATTCTGACATATGCTACAACGTAGATGAAACTTGGCGACATTCTTCTAGGTGAAATAAGCCAGTCAGAAAGGGACAAATACTATACGATTCCACTTAAATGAAGTACTTAGAGTAGTCAAATTTACAGAGACAGAAAGTAAAATGGTGGTTACCAGTGCCTGAGGGAGGGGGATGAGGAGTTAGAGTTTAGTGGGTACAGGTTTTGGTTTGGAAAGATAAGAAAGTTCTGAGATGGACAGTGGTGGTGGTCGCACAGCAATGTGAATGTAGTTAATGACATCAGACTGCTCAGTTAGAAATGGTTAAAATGGTACATTTTATGTTATACATATTTTACCACAATAAAAAAAAAGTTAAAAAAAAAGTCTAATGTTACTTGATCATTATTCCTGGCTCCTGCAGAAAATCTAGAAGCTTTTTGTAGAGATAATTTCTAAATACTATATTCTAGAAAGAGACAAAAAATGCAGTAAACAGCAAAATGGTTATTCAAAAGCTGGGCCTGCCTTGGTTGTCTGCATTTTTCAATGAAAAGCCACTTTAACATCATATCCCCTCCCATACTACTGTTCCCCACCTTTCACCCCTCAAAGAGTTAAGTAGGAAAAAAAGAGTAATATTAAAACCGGAGGCAACAGGACAAACTTCTATAGGTTTAGAACAGTTTCCATGAGCCAGAAAGCTGCTACTCTAAGGTGGCCCATACCCCACGGCTAGGGGAGAAACTCAAGCTAAGTCCCAAGAGAAGCCCACCTGTCTGATCACTTGCCACACAGCAGCAGCACAGGCACCTGCCAGGTGATCACCTGCTGAGGTGGCCCACCAGGAAGTATGGACACTAAATACTTGAAGTCACCTACCTCAGGAAAGTGGTTCTCAATAATGCTCAGAGCAGTCAGGGCAACCTGATGGTTCTCATGAAATTGCAAAGCCTTGATTCTATCAACCCCACCAAGTTCCTCAATCAGAAGACACAGGTTTTCCTTCTCAGAAAGCTTCTGTGCTGCCTGGGGGATGATAGAGAAAGTGAGGCTCTGGGCAAGAACCTGGGGAGGGGGAGCTTCACCCGTGCAACTGGACCAAATACTTCCCTTACCGGAATGGGCAGCCAGTTTCACTTTTCCCAAATTGATTTAAACATGCATGGTCTGCCTCCCTTTTTGGATATTTATGTTATATGTATTTAGGTTTTTTCTTCATTGCAAAAATATAATATTTCTTTTGCTGAATGTGCTGTTATCCATAAATATGTCATTACCTCTATTTAGTAGCTATCCCCTTCTAATTAATAAAACTTATTTTAATATAGAATGTTCAAATAATGCTGTGTAAATACAGATGTTCTGGTCTTGCACTCCCTAAAAGCCTTGGAAGGTAAGACAGGAGATCCTCAGTAACAAAAGCCACACCATGGCAAATAACGAGGTCCCTGGAAACAAGCCATGTGAGAAGATTTAATCCAATGCTGGTCCCCGGATTTACCATCCAGGGCTATTCATTCACTCACACATGCTCACATATATGATGGGTGAGGCACCCAAAACTGAGATACAGATGTGATTTAGAGAGGGCCTTTTGTAACTAACTCATACTATCAGGAGAGACAAGTAAATCATTGTTATGGTGTAGAAAGTATAATAAATGATCAGAAGCTTAAATTATAGATGTGCACGGAAGGCTTGGAAAGTAACACAGTTCTTAATGAACAACATTGTGCTGGATCAATTATAGGGTAACAACATTCTCAAAAGAAGGAACAGCGAGGACAGAGTTTTGAAAGAATAAGGGCTGAGTGTTATAAGAAGAGGGAATAGTTCAGCTAAACAGTATATCTGGGGGAAGTGGAGGAAGATGAAAAAACTTTCCTGTCATATCCAGAAGGGCTCTGCTTGCTATTTTGTGAGCAGTAATAAAAAACTCCTATGGGTCAAATTAAACATTCTTTGGGCCACGTTATTTACCTGACGGCACTGTATGTCTAAGCCTTTGTACCCTCTAGTCCTATGAGTTACTGAATGTGAGTGAAGAAAGTAGGGCAGGAATCAACATGCCAGGCTAGCCTCAGAAAGAAAACTGGGCTGTGGGCAGCAAGAGCCCTGGCCAAGGATTTTGGACCTTAACAGCCAATGGCCCCAAAGTTACTTCAAAGAACCTCAACTGCACTCTGCTGCCCATTTGAAGTTTTCCTGTATCATCTTGATCTTTCTAACCTACTGTCCCAAGTGCCTCCATCTGATACAGGGGCCTCACTGGTCCACCAGATATGATTTGCCTAGACTCTCCCAAGAAAGAATCCCAAGTGTTTACTTTAAATGAAGCAGATGAAGTTAAATTTCTATAACCCAAATTTACTTTTATAAATTTGTTATGTCCAACTTAGTCTATTGGCCACCAAGTCTCTACTCTGTGTGATTTGCTCAAAGTCTCAGTGTCTAGTCAGGCTATGTTTCAAATCTGTTTTTTTTTTTTTTTTTTTATCCTCACCCGAGGACATTTTTCCATTTTTTGTTCAGATAGAGCGGGAGGGAGAGAGAGGAAGAGAAAGAGAGAGAAACATTGATGTGAAGGGACACATCGAGTGGCTGCCACCCGCACGACCAACCAGGGCCAGGGACAAACTGCAACCAAGGTACGTGCCCTTAGTGGGAACCAAACCTGGGTCTCTCTGTACCGCAGGCCAACGCTCCAACCACTGAGCCAAACCAGCCAGGGCTCAAATCTGTTTTTAAAAAAATGCCTTGGTTGTATATAAAAAGACCTTAACCAAGATGGCCCCAGGTGGTCCCTGCCTCCTGGTCTTCATGCTGTTGTGTTGGTGTGAATGTTAAAATAGAGATGATTTGTGCAACCACCAGGATGTTGTTGAAATGACCTCCATTATAGGTCATAAAAGACATGGGGCTTCCACCTTACTTTCTTAGATTACTTGCTCCAGAGGAAGCTTTAGCTGCCATAATGTAAGGATACTCAAGCAGTCCTCTGGAGAGGTCCATGTGGTGAGAATAACTTGACAGGCACATGAGTGAGTCATCTTGGAAGCTGATCCTCCAGCCTCCATCAAGTGTTCAGATAAGACTGAAGCACCCAGTTGACATCTTGAACCTCATGAAAAACCCTGAGCTAGAACCATCCAGCTAAGCTGCTCTCAGATTCCTAACCCCATAAATTATGTGACATGATAAATGTTTAAGTCACTAAGGGGTAATTTGTTATGCAACAATATAGAACTGAGAAAAATACCATAAAATGTTGCCTTCACTTACATTTCTCTCAGAAATAAGATTTTTCTAGAATTCTGACTCAAGTCTTTGTTGTCTATTTCCCCAGCCATATAGTTGAATGGAAAAGGAACCCTAGTCTGGCCTTTTAACATATATCCCTGCTAACTTCTTGCTGCTTCTTCAAGTATATCCTGTGTTTTAGCCTTCTAAAAGAGCCAGCCATGTGGCTCATTGACTATTTTCCCCCTCCTTCAAACCTTCGATTGGTTTCTCCATCTCACTCAGATAAGTTAAAGTTCTCACAGAGCTTATGTGATCTGGCCCCTGGGTGCCTTGAGCCTGATCTCCCACTACCTTCCATCCCTTCACTCTGCTGTAGCCATACCCCACTCCTTGCTCTTCCTAGAATGTTACTCCCCAGAGAGCCACAAGACTCACGCACTTCTTTTGAGGCCTTTGCTTAAAAGTTATTCCTCAGAGAAGATTCTCCGAACTACTGCATATAGGAGATCACCTTCACCTTCCCCTCCCTACTCTGAGCTATCAGTGATTACCTCTTTTCAGATACATTTACCTACAACTCCCCACCTGAGGTGCCTGTCCCCCTCTCCACGACTATATAAGCCCTTTGAGAGCAAGGACTTTGCTCTGCCACATCCCAAGCATCTAAACCAGTGCTGGGAACAAAGGCACGCATTTGAGAAAATGAAGATAATGTAATGTACCTTCTTTGAAAGTCTTCTTGTTATTGTTATCCACAGGATGTGGGCACAGAGGAAGGAGATAGGGGAGTTGGGAAGAAAGAGAATCCTACTTGGATTTTAAGAACCAAATGAAATGTCTTAAGTTTGGAAAGTGTTATTTAGAAACCAACTTGTGCAGAACAGCTCACCTGGAGAAGAAAAGAGATTATGTCAAGGATGATGACAACAAATTTTGTGTCTGGGATGGTGAGCAGGTTCACCAGTGGATCCAACACTCCAGAGTGGATAAGCTGGAGCAACTGGTCCATGGTGCCCCCAGTTGTGAAGTTAGCAACAGTCCAGACAGCCTCTTTCTGGACTTTAAAATCTCCCTGCAGAAAGAGAACATTTACATTCTTTACAGATCCCGAAGAACTTAAATACAGTGATACTAACTTGGTTCAGTTTCTAGGTAGACTAGAGACAGCCAGGACTATATGTGCAATTTACATTGAAAACCATGGGGAACTGAAGCCAAGAAGGAGGCAGTCAGACTCATATGGGGTTTTAGAGAGAGGTTCTAGTTCAAATAGTCTCATTTAATTAATTTGGGTTATGGGAAAAACAGAACCAACATAAACCAATCCAGGTAATCAATATAAATTAATAATCATGCTTGGAATTTCAGATAATAGTGGCTTATGTCTATATTCCTAGTCTTTCTGCCCTAGTAAAACTTTGGACAAGCTCCATAGCGACAAAGCTAAGCACACAGATGTGATCTTGGTGACTGAGACAGCCCACAGGTTACAGAGGAATGCCACTGAAATATCACTCAGTGCATCCCTTGCATTTATAAAAAGCATTTGGCTCAGAGATATGGGAGTCATTGATCATAGATCCTATTGTCCCTGGGTAGGAGTTATTCCCATTTTGTGGCCAGGGAAAACTGTGACCTCAGTTTAAAACAAACAAAAAACAAACAGCTTATGGCTCCAAGCAAGTTATTATTCAAAAAGCATAGTTTGAAATAAGATTACTTCTTGATTCATGACTGGGTGTTTCTGATTAGAATATGTACAGACTCACAGTAGAACACAGGACAGGAAGTGTCTAATAGACTGGAAGATGCTATGATTTGGGTTGCACACCTCACCTAACTTTTCATACTTAATGAAAACCTGGGAACCCATCATCTAACCTTAGAGCAAGAACGCCTAAGCAGAAAAATACAGCTCATTCATTAAAAGGTGGCCAAAAAAAAAAAAAAATGCTGACAATAGTAGTTGCCCTGGGGAAGGGAAGTGGGAATCAGGAGGAAAGAGGAAGCTTTATTGTATTTCTGTTTTTATATTTGGATTTTCTGTGTATGTTACCACTTTAATTAATGTGATTTTATACTGAAAAGGTCACCATTCTTCAGTGTATAATAGCATAACCAGATATGGTTTTCCTTCTAAAACAAAACAAAACCTCCTTCCTCTTTTGGCAAGTAGAGAGTAGATAGCACATTCTTCTAACACTATTTACCAGCTCAAGATTTTTCTAGGTATTTGAGCTGTGGGACCACCTTTTCATTAAACAGCGCTTGTTTTAGTCTTCTAAATTTTCCATGGGTTGTCCAAAACGGGATGTCCCTTCCTTTTTTTAGTAGAGCTGGGAAACTAATGTTTCATAATTTTGTTGTGGTCTCAATTAATTTGCTCTGAGCCTGTGTCTGAATTCTTGCAGGAGTTCAGTACAGAGCCAGTTGGAAAGTAGTCTTTTGTTGTTGACAATGAGTGTGCCACTTACATTTTTTAGCAGAGCCACCAAGGGAGGCAGAGTGTTGGAAGCAATCAGCTGCTGGATGTGTTGGTGGGGCCCCGCGGCCACATTGCTCAGGGCCCAGGCTGCCTCCTTCTGGATGGAGGACTTGGGGTGTAGCAGGAGCTGGGGTAGCACAATTAGTATGCCCGCGTCAATGGCCACCTGGGTCTGCTGATCTGTTCCTGTGACAATGTTCCCCACAGTGCGGAGAGAGGGGGTCTGGAAGAACAAGGCTAGAAGTGTAACCAAGTATTGCAAATTTATCACAGTGGAAGTTGACAATCACACAAGATCTGTGCCCTCTCAAACGTTAGTCATGCTATGCTGATGGCTCTCTGGAAGCCTGCGAACAATGACATCTATGACCCTTATTAATTCAGCATATTGATGGCTGTTTATATAGCTTTAAGGTACTTGCCAGCTTCCCAGCAGTAGTAGCTCAAGTGGGATAGAGGTCAAGGGATACCTTTATCAAGAAATGATGCTCCCTTTTATGTCCCACCTTGGGAAAACTGCTAAATTGATTGTAGTGTCTATAATGAAATTGAATTTACATTTAGCTCCAGAGTCAAGTTTCTGTTCTTTATATTATTGGAGCTAATGAGATCCCAATGGTATTTGTTGATATATTCACAAACCCCCTCTTACAATTCCCAGGAAGGGTCTATGATTGGACTCCAGACAACTGTCCTTGGAGGGCTGATTTTGGATTTATTTTGGTTTCTTTGCACTTTAGTGAGAGAGCAGTTCTAGAATTCTCCTAGCTTGTCATGTTGGGTGTCTGCTGCTCAAGTGAGAGATAGAAGTAGTGCTATAGGCTAATCACAACCTTGCCAGGCCTGTTAATTTGCCACTGTGCATCCAGGATAAGCGATTTCTTATAGATATTCTCTTTGTACACTCCATGCTACCAGCACTATCCCCAAACTAACTCTGACATCTGAGGAATACTATGCTAATCTCAGAACAGATGATCACTAGGGCTGCATAATACACAATATTAGGCACAGAAATAAAAAGGGGCACGTACATTTTAAATGATATTTTCAAGAAGGGTATTATGTAAGTGACATGTTTCATAACATAGCAAAGTATTTGGTATTGGTTTTACTTACTTTTCACCTATATCTGAAATAGTTTTAGAGAACAAACTGGGGACAGGGTAAGAAGGAATTTTCTTTTATACTTAAACTCAAATATTACATGAGCTTTACATTAATACACACACACACACACACACACACACACACACACATCCTATATCAGTCAACTTGTTAATGTCTACACATATAGACTACCAGAAGGAAAGGCTACAGAAGGATAGTTCATTGGGTGAAAGGATTACATGCAATTTTAATTTGGTGCTCTCCATAATTTCTAGTTATCAGGTTAAGAAAAAGTATGTTACTTAATACCCACTAGGATTTTGGATCAAAATAGAGTCAAGTGTTTAGCTAGAGAGTGGCAGAGACCAGGGAAATGCAGATGATAAACTTTGTTCTAGGTAAAGGATGAGAGCTGTGTGGAAACTTGGCGGGGGGGGGGGAGCAGGTGGAGACAGAAGTTACTAAAATAAATAAAACTCACAACTCTAATCAGAAGACCCATACAGAGACAGACAAGACCTGGGACAATTACCAAGACATTGAGTTCTGAGCTGGTCATGAGCTGAACCAGCCTGGGCAGCACCCCCATGTTAACCACTTGGCCAATGCGCTCATTGCAGCCCTCAGTGAGGTAGGACAGGGCCCAGCAGGTGTCAGAGAGCACCTCACTGTCTTGGTGCTGCAGGAGGTGGAAGAGGACGGGCAACATTTGCTTCACTGCTCTTTTGCAGGGGTACGGGTTCTTGTTTCGGCACAGGTTGGACAGGGTCCATGTGATGTTCCGCAGAAATGTAATCTGTAACAAGAGACTGCTTCTAGCATCAAGTGAAAAGAAGGAAAAATGCAAATAGAAATGTGTCCTTGCCATCTTTGATCAATATTCTTGACCATCACAAACCAAAGAATTTGAACTACAAACTGGAATTTGTTCCAGGTAGTGATGTATATATACTAGGGACACAGAAGATGAGTTTTATATTTCCCGTTCAACTGTTAGATGGAGGTTTCCTTATATTCTTTAAGATGTTTTTCCCCACTCAACTCAACTAATGACCTAATTTCATTTTTCATTGGCAAAACAAAGAAAGCAGGAGTTTCTTGTTCTTCCCACCAGTCTATAACCAACATGTCATAACCACATTTCTTATCTTCTGTTCAAGGACTAGTCTTCCTTCCTTGCCTCTGAATTCCATCACTTTTCACCTTTAACATTTCTGTCCCTAGGATCACCTCTCTTTCCTGGATCACTTCCAGCAATATAGAAGCACACTCTGTGACCTTTAATCCTGACCCTTGGCACCTCTGTAGCCATCCCCCTCACTTCTATTTTTCAGAGTCTATCCTCAAGGAGGCATCTGTATTCACTATCTACCTGGTGCTTCCCATTGGTGCTTCTACCTCTCCTACTCTGGTTTCTGACCCCACTTCTTTGTGGTTAGTGATGAAATCAGCTTCTTCCAAGTCACTGATCCCACAGATGCTTTCTTTACTGTCCCTCTCAGTTGTGATCACCTGTTGTTCCCCTTGATATCTGTGACACCAAACCTGGTTTTTTTATTACTGAATGGGACATTTCTTCTCAGTCTTCCTGGCAGGCTCTGCCTGACTTCTGAATGTCAGAACCCCTAGAACTTTGTCCCGGACTTTCCCCACACTCTAGATCAAGGATTGACAAATTTTTCTATGAAGGGCCAGACAGTAAACATTTTAGTTCTGTGGGCCCACAGGATCTCTGTTACAACTAGTCAATGCTGCCCTTGTAACTCTACAAGAGCCACAGACAATTATGTATGTAGATGAATGGGCATGGCGGTGCTCCAATAAAACTCTACTTACGAACACAAGCAGCTAAGCCCTGCTCTAGTCGATCTTGTCCAGTTGAATGGTATATGTGTGCACAAGTATCTAGACCTGCATATTCATCTACCTGATATTGCTGCAATGGTACCTCTCACTCACTTCAACTTAATATGTACACCTACGACTCTGAATCTTTCTCCCTCCAGATGTCCCATTTCTCTAGGAAGACAGTCATCTAAAATAACCTAACCCAGAACCTGGGGCATCCTTGCTTATTTCAGTCTTACTTCTATGTCGAGCACAGCAGCATCCCATTTCCATTTGCTCCACCATCTTCCTGTGCTACAATCCTCCAACAAACATCCAAGAGGATCTTTCTGAAAGATCAGACCACTTTACTTTCTGCCTTGAGATCCTCCAAAGGCTTCCCTTTGCCACCAGGATGATGTCCAAGTCCCTTGTCCTACTTTCATATTACACTTTCTCCTTGCAAACTCCCTTGGTCATTCCAGCCTTTTTCTGGTTCAACCATGTCAGGTTTTCTCCCACTGTGAGAGCAGAGTGTATATTTCTTTGTCTTTTGGAAGCTATTTTCTCTTTATTTTGTTTGAGGCAAAGCTAGAATACAAATTTATATTACTAATCCAGGGAGTCCTCTATTTTTGCCACATCAATTGACTTTTTTTGATTCTCACCCAAGGAAATGTTTATTGACTTGAAACAGAGAGAGAGGGGAGGAGAGGGGAAGAGAGGGGAGGGGAGGGGAGGGGAGGGGAAGAGAGAGAGGGGAGGAGGTAAGGGGAGGGGGGGGAGAAGGGAGGGGAGAGGAGAATGTGCCCTGACCAATAATCGAACCCACAACCCTTTTGGTATATGGCAATGACATGCCAACTAATAGAAGCACCTGGCCAGGGTGCCATATCAATTTATTTTTACTCTAATATTCAAACCTAAACCTTATTTTCTAGGAACAGATCTGGTGAGCCACTAATTTTGTCTGTGCCCCTTGAATGGTAGAGTTTAGTCATTTGATTTTGCAGGATCGTAAACTGAGAAAAATCTTAACAGATATTTGCCAATGCTCTCAAAAAAAAAAAAAATCTATTGCCTGCTGAAGACAAATTTTGATCAATTTCCATCCAAAGTGATATTCAGTTCTAGCCCTTCTTTATAACTACTGTCTTAAGGGGCTAGGTAGTGACCACATGACCTAGCATTGATTTGGAAATACTTCCTCAATTTCTCAACTTTGGGAACTTGTTACTAGCTAGGTTTTCTAATTTGAGCACACTCACTGGTATGGTTGATGAAATCAGGGCCAGCAGATGTGGGATGGCATTGCTTGAGATAACAAAGTCTCTGAATTCTGGTCCATCACCTACAGATAAGAACAGGACATTCAAAGAGGAACAAAAGAATTCTGGGATAGGTGACTAATTTTTAGAAGTCTGTGCAAAGGGCAAGAGGCAAGTAGACAGTGTAGTCATGAAGTTGATCCCAAGTCTTTAACATGTTGGTTGGGTAGATAGGCCTGGTGTGAAAGCAGGCACCGCATAGCAGCAACTGCCATAAGCAGTCTATGGACACATAAAGGAGCCAGCCAACTGGGTTCAGGCAGTGCTCTCTAAATGCTAATAGCATTTTATAGCATGGTTCTCTGGAAGACAAAGGCCATTGCAGACTAAATTGTCTTCCCAGAAGACTTTGGCACAGGGCAGTAACTTCTACATGCAACTCCGAACAAATCTGAGAGATAGATAGGGTTAGTCATCAGCTATCTGTGACTGGCTAGAATGCCAAATTTCTAAACCCTAGAAGTTTTAGTTTGTAACTCTTTAATCATCAGACAAAGCATAAGTTACATTATACCACCCAATTTTGCCTCTTCCTTACTGAACCAATCAAAATGAGAGACAACATCTCTGCAATAGGTGCCTTACTTCTGCAGACTCGTTTTTATAGTCTGTTTGCTAATTCCAATATCTGAAGTCCTTGGAGGTCTAATCATACTGTTTGTTTTTTGCTGACTCAGTCATGGTGGTTTGTTGATTCTCTGAACTTGAAATTGCTAATATTTGGCTGATTTTACTTTGTCAAAATCCTGAGGGACCTAGTTGAGTTAGTTTTCCCCAGAGAGAATTATATTTATATTTAGCCAGGAATCAGGGAGCTTTCAACTTGCAGCATTAACTCCTCAGCTTTTGCTTTCCTAGACCTCACAGGGAATACAGCATCAAGTCCCAAATCTATAAGGCTGATGTTAGGATTGTGTTTTCAGGGGAGACTTTTACCCCAGGCTAAGAAAACACTTTTTTGTATGTTCCGTTGGCAAATTTCTCTGTAGGTAGAATTTTTTAGGGTTTGGGTTTATAAGCATCTGTCAAAAACCCCCACACTGCATAAGCCAAAGCTTGTCCTTCGTTCCTGAAGCCATTAAGACCTAAGAGTGTAGGATCTTGTATTGGCAGATGTGCCTAGGTAGCCTGTAGCTTTAGGACATACCGCCATTGTCTGGTTTTAGTTTCAATTTATAGCTTCTGAACTTGACCCTGAAGTTTGGAAAAGCCTGTTGTACTTCCCCCAGCATTTCTAGGCATGTATACTTAAATTTCAAGTCACAATACTACTGACAGGACTCCTATAGCATGCCACATGCATGACTCACTATTTTCTGAGGGGAGAGTCTCACCTGCTATATTACCAAGGGCCCACACTGCCTGTTCACACACAGTCATATTGGGGGAAGACAGGAGCTCAACCAAGGGCTGGATGGCTCCCCCTTCCACAACAGCTCGAGTCTGCTCTGAAGTCCCTGAAGCAATGTTGGTTAGAGCCCATGCTGCCTCAAACTGCAAGCGGGGAAGGAGGGAGGACTTCAGGAACTCCACCAGCCTGGGAATGAGCCCTGCTTCAACAATCAGTTTGAGAGGAGGGTTTCTTTCCCGGGATAGTATTTTCCTTTGCAATGAAAGAGAAAAAACACACAAAAAACAAGTCACGTGAGGCAGGTATTAAGAACCTCCTTTATAGATGTTCCTGGTATTCCTAACTATTACATGAGACAAACAGCTGGGTGAGAGCTACTTAATATCCTAGAGTTTAGCCTACCACATTTTGCAGTGATGAAGCAACATTTTTCCCTTCAGGTATGATCTATCACAAAGATTCCTGTAGAGGTTAATTAAAATTAAGCAATTCATCTCTGACAGCACTTGTATATCTTAAATTGTTCTCAAGGACAGTGTAGAGGAGATATTTAGCCTCATTTTTGGATAGACTAGCCTTTTTTTATATTGTATGGGCATTTGGTCCTGCCAAGAAACCAAATAGGCCATTGGAGCTTATTTCTAACTATGAACTTGTAAATGGTAGCAGTCTGTTTGGTGATACCTGGCTGCCTGGGTGGCTTGGAAACATAGGTCTGGATCTGAGGCATTCACACCATTGATTATTTCTTGCAGGGTGAGGATGACCTGCAAGGAGACACACATTCAGGTCAGAGTTTCTGCCAAAAGGAACCGTGAAGGTCATCTAGTCTAGCCATCTATTTGATTAGAACAGGCTAGCTTAAACAGTATGTCCCAATCTGCAAAATACAGAAGAATATTTGCTGGTCTTATAAATCTCTGGGATATTCCTTATGCTCTGGGGGAGAGGTAATTCCTGTCATTACTCGGATTCCCAGAAAGCTTTTTATAACATGCAATAAGAACATGCTAGTGGCCCTGGTTGGTTTGGCTCAGCTGTTAGAGCGTTGGCCTGCGGTCCAGAGAGACCCGGGTTTGGTTTCGCTAAGGGCGCGTACCTTGGTTGTGATTTGTCCCCGGCCCTGGTTGGTCGTGTGGGTGGCAGCCACTCAAAGTGTCTCTTTCACATCGATCTTTCTCTCTCTCTCTCTCTCTCTCTCTCTCTCTCTCTCTCTCTCTCTCTCTCTCTCTCCCTCCCTCCCTCTCTTCTTCTCTCTCCTTCCCACTCTATCTGAACAAAAAATGGAAAAATGTCCTCGGGTGAAGATAAAAAAAAATAAAAAAGAACATGCTAGTGAATGTTAGCAAAAATGACAGAGTAAAGACCTCCAAAAATTCTCTCATCCATAAAAGCAACAAGAAAACGGACTGACAACAGTCAGAATCAACATTTTTAGAACTCTAAAAACTGACCAAAGGTTTGCAACAACTTGTTTTACTTAAGCTTAAAAGAGTTTATTAGCCCTGGCCGGTTTTGCTCAGTGGTTAGAGCGTCGGCCTGTGGTCCAGAGAGACCAGGGTTTGATTTCCACTAAGGGCACGTGCCTCGGTTGCAGTTTGTCCCCAGCCCTGGTTGGGTCATGAGGGTGGCAACCCCTCGATGTGTCCTTTTTAGGTCGATGTTTCTCTCTCTCTCCCCCTCCCATTCTATCTGAATGAAAAATGGAAAAATGTCCTCGGATGAGGATAAAAAAAAAAGTTTATTCAAGAGAATGTGTAGATCTCAGGAAGAACAATGAGTATTGTGGTATTTTGTTTTGCCTTATTCCCACCTACCCCCTAGCTCCATGCTAGCCTGGGAAACCAACTGCTCAGTATTCACTGGAGGAGGCAGAATGAGTTAGTGCTTTTTAAAAGTCTTGTTTTCATAAATTATAATTTGACCTGTCTGGTAGTGTCTTGAGATATTCAATTTGTAAGGTTTTCTTTATTTCAGTTGACTCAGATATCACACAGTGCAAAAGTCCTTTCCCTGGGGGCATTTATTTAACACAATTAGAGGAATTTCTTTAACTTCACCGCTGCTTTTTTTTTTATCCTCACCTGAGGACATTTTTTTGTTTTTTTGTTCAGATAGAGTGGAAGGGAGAGAGAGAGAGAGGGAGAGAGAGAGGGAGAGAGACATCAACGTTAAAGGGACATATTGAGTGGCTGTTACCCGCACAACCCAGCCAGGGACAAACTGCAACCGAGGTACATGCCCTTAGTGGGAACCAAACCCAGGTCTCTCTGGACCGCAGGCCGATGCTCTAACCGCTGAGCAAAACCGACCAGGGCCACAGCTGCTTTTGGAAGGAGGGGTGCTGAATAAGATTTAGGGGTAAACAGTAGACTAACAAAAAAAACTTAAAAGGAAAAGCTGGGGGATGAGATGTTCAGCGAGACTTTGAAAACTCTGGCACAGTCCTAAAAATGTATAAGGCCAAGTGCATGTACAGGCTGTGCACATACTTACAAATACTGAGAAGGCCCCGAGCCCTCACCTCTGGTTGACTTGGAGACTCTGTGCAAGCAGCAAGTGAAGGTTTAATTAAGGCAGGCTGTCAACTCTCTGGCTGAGTATGCATGCCCCAACATGCATATACAGAACCCCTTGGCAAAGACTGGGTGAATTCTTGGTTCCAAATATTTAAGGAAATCTGTCCAATCATTAGCTGATCACTGAGTTAGCTGAGCAGAGAACTCAGTGGCCACACATAACAGAATACAAACTTTATAAAATTAATTCAGAAGTCACTGAACAAACAACACCCAGCAACAACAAAATACTCTGGGCAAATGGGCATTTGATACCCAAAGTTTCCCAATTATGTTATCGAAAATGACCAATTGCCAAAGAAATTGCAAGACATACAAAATATGGCACATACACATGAAAAAACCAACAATCATTAGAAATTGTCTCTGAGGAGCCCAAACATTGAACTTACTAGACAAAGACTTTAAATATGTTCAAAGGAGTAAAGAAAACCATATCTCAAGAACTAAAGGAAAGTATGAGAATGATGCCTCACTAAATAGAGAATATCAATGAAGAGATAGAATATAAATAGGAACCAACTAGAAATTCTGAAACTGGATAGTACAATAACTGAAATAAAAGATTTACTAAAGGGGCAAGTGGGTAGATTTGAATAACTAATCAATAAGCTTGAAGGTAGGTCAATTGAGATCCAGTCTGAGGAAGATAAATACAAAAGAACAAATACAAAAGTTAACAGATCCTTACAGCTCTGTGGAAAACCATCAAGAATACCAATATATGATGCATAACAGGATGGAGAGGAGAGAAGGGAGCAGAAAGTATATTTGGAGAAGTGATTTCCAGAAACTTCTCAAATTTGATTTAAAAATAACCTACAGCCTGTCTGGTTTGGCTCAGTGGATTGAGCATCGTTCCATCGACTGAGAGGTCCTGGTTAGATTCCAGGTCAGGGCACATGCCTGGGTTGTGGGCTTGATCCCCAATAGGGGGCATGCAAGAGGCAGCCAATCAATGTTTTTCTCACACATAGATGTTTTTATCTCTCTCAAAAAAAAAAAATCAATAAAAACATTTTTAAAAATCTATTTTGTTCACCAGCTTATTTTGTTAATCATATTTTACAAATAAGTGAGATCATGTAGTATCTGTCTTTCTCTGATTGGCTTATTTCGCTTAGCATCATGCTTTCCAGGTCCCTCCATGTTGACTTAAAGGATAAGAGATTTCTCTTTCTTACAGCTACATAGTGTTCCATTGTGTATATATGTACCATAGCTTTTTTATCCACTCATTTACTGATGGGCATTTGGGCTTTTCTAGATCTTAGCTATCGTAAATAGCACTGTTATGAACATAGGGGTGCACCTATTCTTTCTGATTGGTAAAATAAGCTGATGAACAAAATAGACCCAGAGACATAGAAAGGAGTATGGTTCAGACTGACAAACCTCAGAGAAGGGGGTGGTAGGGGGAGGGATGAGATAAACCAAAGAACTTATATGCATGTATGTATAACCAATGAACATAAACAACAATGCGTGGGGAGGGGGTGGGATTGGGAGAAGGGTGTCTGGGGAGGGGGGAGGAAAAACATTTCTAACAAAAATAAATTAATAAAAATTGCATAAAAAAAGCCAAAAACAAAACAAAACTACACATTTGAGTAACTCAATGAATCCCAAATAGAAAAAACCCGAGATCCACACATAGACACATCATAATCAAACTGTTGAAAGCCAAAAACAAAGAACCTTGAAATCATCAAAAGAGAAGCAACTCATCATGCATACAACCTCAGTAAGATTAAGAGCTGATTTATCACCAGAAGGCATGGAGACCAGAAGGCATTAGGACGACGTATTTTAAATGCTGAAAGAAACACTATTAAGCAAGAATTCTATATCTAACAAAGTGCAATGAAGAGGAAATTAAGACATATCCAGATAAACAAAAACAGAGAGAACACATTGTTAGTAAATCCTCTGTACAAAGAGTTATTCAGATAATAAAAAGCAGACAATAATTAAAATTACATTAAGAAATCAAGAACACCAGTAAAGATATATATTAGTCAATATAAAAATACAAATTTTTTTTGTTGATCATCACCTGAGGATACTTTATTCCATTGATTTTTAGAAAGTGTGGAAGGGAAAGAGGAAGGGGGGGGGGGGAGAGAGAGAGAGAGAGAGAGAGAGAGAGAGAGAAATATCGATGTAAGAGAGAGAGAGAGACACATTGATTGGTTGCCTCCCACATGTGCCCTGATCAGGGCCAGGGAATTGAACCTGCAACCCAAGTATGGGCCCTTGACCAGAAATCAAACTCATGACCTTTCAGTGCACAGGCTGACACTCTAACCACCGAGCAACAATGGCCACGACTGAATTCTTTTCATTATAACTCCTTTTTATATTATTTAAAAGACAACCATATAAAGCAGTAATTATAAATCTATATTGATGGACACACAATGTATAAAGTAGTAACTTGAATGACAATAAGAGCAAAAGGAGGAGGGGAGAAAATGAAGCTACATAGACATAAATTTTGTATATTATTAAAATTAGGTTGATATTACTCCAAACTAGATTGTTATAAGTTAAGACATTAACTATCCCCAGGACAAAACTAAAAAAAATAATTTAAAAAACATAGCGAAAGAAACAACAGAGGAATTAAAATATTAAACAATTAGCACAAAAGAACACAGTAATGAAGGTAGAGGCACAAAAAAGACATAAGACATAGATAATAGCAAAATGGCAGACATAAATACTATTTTTATTAGTTGCATATATAAATATAATAAACACTCCCAATAAAAAGAAAGGACTGGCAGAATGAATTTAAAAATTATGATCCAGCTATAAGCTGTCTATAAGAGACACACTTTAGATTCAAAGGCACAAGTGGGTTGACAATGAAAGGAGTATACTTACATTAGACAAAATAAACTTTCAGACAGAAGTTGTTACTGAAAACCTGATAAGATACAGCTAAAGTGGAATTTAGAGGGAAATATATAGCCACAAATCCATATATTAAAAAAGTAGACCCCTGGCCGGTTTGGTTCAGTGGTTAGAGCGTCGGCCTGCGGTCCAGAGAGACCTGGGTTCGTTCCCGCTAAGGGCATGTACCTCGGTTGCAATTTGTCCCCGGCCCTGGTTGGTCGTGTGGGTGGCAGCCACTCGATGTGTCCTTTTCACGTCAATGTTTCTCTCTCTCTCTCTCTCTCCCTCTCCCCCCCACCCCCCACTCTATCTGAACAAAAAATGGAAAAATGTCCTCTGGTGAGGATAAAAAAAAAAAAAAGTAGAGAGATCTCAAATCCAAAATCTAAATTTATACCTTAAAACAAAAAACAACTAAAAAAATGCCCTGGTCAGGTGGCTCAGTTGGTTGGAGTGTTGTCCTGTACACCAAAAGTTGTGGGTTTGATTCCTGGTCAGGGCACATACCCAGGTTGTGGGTTCGATCTTAACATTGTTAAGATGGCAATAATCAACAAACTGATCCATAGATTCAGTGCAATCTTCATTGAAAGCTGAGCTGAGTTTATTGAAGCAATTGACAAGCTAGTTCTAAAATTCATATGGAAATGCAAGGGATCTGGAATAGCCAAAATAATCTTGAAAAAGAAAAACAAAGTTGGAAGGCTCACACTTTCCAATTTCAAAATCTACTACAAAGCTACAGTAATCAAGTCTGTGTTATGCTGGCATTGGATAAACACATAAATCAATTGAAGAGAATTCAGAGTCTACAAATGAACCATCATATTTATGGTCAACTGATATTTGACAAGGTGTTAAGACCATTTAATAGGGGAGAGAATAGTCTTTTCAACAGATGATGTGGGGATAATTGGATATCCTTTGCAAAACAATGAAATTAGACTCCTACTCACATCATTTACAAAAATTAATTGAAAATGGAAAAATGACCTAAACACCTGAGTTAAAACCATAAAACTCTTAGAAAAAAAAAAAAGGATAATTCTTCATGACCTTGGATTAGGCAATAGATTCTTAGATATGATACCTAAAGCACATGCAACCAAAGAAGAAAGTGGATAAATCAGACTGTTTCAAAATGAAAAACTATGCTTCAAGGATTCTATCAAAATGGTGAAAAAGAAAAATGACCCACAGAATGGGAGAAAATATTTGCAAGTCATACATCTGGTAAGGTCTAGTATCCAAAAAATATATATAAAGAACTCTTACAGCTCAAGAATGAAAAGACAAATTACTTTATTTTAAAAATGGGCGAAGGGTTTGAATAGACATTTCTCCAAAGAAAGTAAACAAATAGCTAATAAGCGCATGAAAAAATGCTCATTAGTCATATGAAAAACATACCAAAATCACTATATAGCCTTTTACATATACTAGATGGCTATAATCCAAAAATGGACAATAACAAACCTTGGTTAGGATATCAGAATGTACAATGGTGCAGCTACTTGGGAAAACAGTTTGGCAGCATATTTCATATTGCTACTGTAAAAACTGCCACAAATTTAGTGGCTTAAAACAACACAAACTTATTCTCTCACAGTTCTGGAAGTCAGAAGTTCATAATCAGTTTCAGTGGATTAAAGTCACAGTGTTGGCAGGGCTGGTTCCTCCGGGAGGCTAAGAGGGGAGAATCTGTTTTCCTGCCCTTCTCAGCTTCTAGTAGGGCTGCCTGTGTTCCTTGGCTTGTGGCCTGTTTCTCCATCTTCAATGCACAGCAAATTAATCTCTGCTTCTGTCATCATTTCAACTTCTCTGACTTGTCATTCATCCTTCTTACTATAAGTATTGATGTGATTACATTGGACCCATCAGATAATCAAGGACAATCTCCTCATCTCAAGATCCTTAACTCAGTCATGTCTACAAAGTCCCTTCTATCATACAAGGTGATATCCATAGGTTCTGGGGCTTATGGGATGGATACATTTTGGGGGAGGGGACTTTATTCAGCTTACCACAGGCAGTTTCTCAGAGTTAAACATAGAATCACCATATGACCTGGCAATTCTACCCCTGGGTATGTACCCAAGAGAACTGAAAACACATTTACATAAAAACTTGTACACAAATGTTTATAGCAGCACTATTCATAATAGCCAGAATGTAGAAACAGCCCAAATGTCCACCAACTAATGGATAAACCAAATGCAGTATATACATGCAATAAAATATTATTCAGCCACAAAAGGGATGAAGGACCATCTGGCCGGCATAGCTCAGTGGACTGAGCATGGTCCCATGGACTGAGAGGTCCCGGTTTAATTCCCAGTCAGGGCAAAAGTTCGGGATGTGGGCTTGACCCCCAGTAGGGGGTGTGCAGGAGGCAGCCGATCAATGTTTCTCTCTCACATTGATGTTTCTATCTCTCTCTCTAAAAAACTCAATAAAAGCATTTAAAAAAAAAAAAAAAGGTTGAAGGACTTATAACTGCTACAACATGGCTGAACCTTGAAAACATGATGCTAAGTGAAAGAAGCTAGGCATGAAGGGTCACATATCATGTGATTCCATTTATATGAAATACACAGAAAAGGTGATTCAGAGACAGAAAGTAGATTCATGGACACCGGAAACTAGGGGGAAGGAAGATTGAAGACTGCTTTCTGGGTATGGGGTTTCTATTTGAGATAATGAATATGTTCTGAAATTAACTTGTGGGGATGGTTGTACAACCTTGTGAATGTACTAAAAACATTGATTATATACTTTTTTTTTTAATCCTCACCGAAGGACATTTTTCCACTTTTTTATTCAGATAGAGTGGGAGGGACAGAGAGGAAGCGAGAGAGAGAGAGAGAGAGAGAGAGAGAGAGAGAGAGAGAGAGAGAGAGAAACATTGACGTGAAAGGGACACATCGAGTGGCTGCCACCCGCACGACCAACCAGGGCTGGGGAGAAACTGCAACTGAGGTACGTGCTCTTAGTGGGAACCAAACTTGGGTCTCTCTGGACCGCAGGCCGACGCTCTAACTGCTGAGCCAAGCCAGCCAGGGCTGATTATATACTTTTAAAAAGGTGAATTTCGTGGTACATGAATAATATTTTAGTTTTTTAAAAGGCTCATAATATAGAATAAAAAGGAAAACAACTCATTCATTTCATAGTTTCATCTTTCTTGGATGGGGGTACTCTTAGGGACTAGTCTAGATAAAGGAAACTAAGTAGAGATATGGTTCAGAGTCCTATGGCAAGTCGGAGAATGATTACAGCCCCTCTAGTGATGGTTGGTAACACATCATCGAATCCACTTGCCCAGACTGAGCCGCTCTCTGCCTCTAAGAGCCCCAAGCCGCGCAGACTGCAGTGATGACACATACATACAGTGGCAGCTCCTAAAAGGCGCAGAGCTACAAAGGCATGTAGATACCATGCTACTGGAGTTCCAAGAAGGGAAATCTCCTGGTCAGAGCATTCTGGAAGGGATCACAAAAAATAGTATTGGCCTGGAAGTCCACCCAGGATTTGTATTGAGCAAGGTTAGGGTGGATGGAGCAGGGAAGAGAGAGGGCAGCATTCAAGTCCTAGGCAAGACTTGACATGTTAAGTGACTAGATGCCTCTGCTGAGACATAACCTTCATGAATCCGCATTTCCTGTTTCTGGCTGAGTGGCAGCAAGTGAATTTTCAATTAGAAGCAGTACCCCCCCCCCCCATTAGAACCCAGATCCTAGACTCACAGCCACAAAGGTAATGCCCCTTAGCTCTCTGACAATGCTGGTTTAACTCTATCCATGATCTCTTCACCCCTTTCCTTCAGGACCCTCCATTAGAGCTTGCAAGTTCTGAATCAAACATTTCAAACCAGATAAATGTACTAAGGATGTATTTTACATACAACTGCTCTAAATGCTACATTCTCAACATACCCCTTTGTTTCCTTCTTCAGAAACTGGGTCAGGAGAGAGGTGAGTGATATTTCTTCTTTTTAAGACCTGCTCATCTTTCTTGGCCTTTCGGAGCTGCAGGCTGACTGCTATCCGCTGTTGTCGCCTCAGCTGGTGAGGGAGGAAAGAATTGGAGCACTTGGAGCTGGGAAGTCAGGCTGTTACCATGTTAGCCTTTAGAACACAAAGCATCTGATTTCATTTCACAGATTCATCAGACTGGAAGAGTTAAAATCACACAGCTAGTAAATAGCCTAGCTCGGTTTACCTCCTTAGCTTTCCTCTGCTACACAATATGTAGAAGAACAGTCAATCTTCCTCCGAAAGTAAAGGAAGATCATGTATACCTTTGGCAGACCAGAATTCTCAGTTGGAGAGACAGCTGAACAAAGTATCCTGAGTCTGCGCACATCTTCAGTGGTGCTGATTAGTTCCTGAAGAGCAGGCCTGAGCTTTCCAGCTATGGGAATCCAGCTGGGGTTATGAGTGGACTGCCCAGGCCCAGATGTCCCTGACCATTTTCACTGTTAGAGAATCACTCTCCAGGTCATATTAATCCAGTCCCAAGAGTTTTACTTGAACACAAGACAGAGAGATTAAACTTTAAAATAAAAACAACCTTTTTCTCATACCAAGCAAAACTCAGACTTTATAGTATTGAGAATCCTAGAGAAATGATCTAACCTATATGGATGGATGAATTTTAGGTTGAAGACGTTCTCAACTTAAGAAAATTTACATGGCTTGGCCAGTGTGGCTTAGTGGTTGAGCGTCGACCCATGCACCAAGAGGTCTCCGGTTCGATTCCTGGTCAGGGCACATGCCCAGGTTGCAGGCCTGATCCCCAGTGGGGAGCATGCAGGAGGTGGCTAGTCAATATTCTTTCTCATTGATGTTTCTATCTCTCTCTCCTTTCCTCTCTCCCTAAAATCAATAAAGAAAACATATTAAAAAAAAGAAAGTTCTAAGATCATGTGGAGACCTTGATTTGGTCCATAGTTGCCTGACTCCTAAGTCCTTGAGCTTTTGCCCTCCTCCCTCTCAATATTTTATTATGAAAATTTCAAACATACAGAAAAGTAGAAAGAATTATTTGGTGAACACCCATGTACCTATCCACAATGAACATTTTGCTATATTGGCTTAGTCACCCCCCTTTCCACACCCTCCACTCTATTTTGATACATTTCAACCATGTAATTTTACCACACTAGTCCTTGTTAGAGTGAAGTAGTTGCCTCTACTTACAGATGCATCTTTGCCTCGGTACTTAAATTTCCTCAGCCTCTCTTCTGGAGCTTCTAAAGTCGGCATATTGACTGGAAGAAGTAAACCACCTGTAGGTAGGACAGTTACAAAGAGATTTTCAGTGTCCAGTGTATAGGTCACTATGTTAAAGCCACCCAGATTCTAAGCCTTTAAAGGGCTCATGGTGGAATGGAGAGCAGACTCAGGAAGTCCACTTCCACAGGCGTCACCATGCCAGCTCAGTAGGGGATGAGCACTGTGGGAGCTCAGAGGGGACCAGTCCTGGGCTACAGATAGAAGGAAAACCTTTTAGAGGCAGTTTGGCCTGAACTGGGCCCTTGGTGGCTGGGGTAGGCTGGAAATAAAACACTGAACCCTTCCATGTGGCTGTGTCCAAGGAGTTCTATACAGAGCATATGTGCAGGATGGTAAGGAACCCAACTAGGCTATGATAGAAAGATAGCCCTCTCTTCTCACCCCCAATCCACCAGCTGATTGTGTCAGGATCGTCTCAAGTGTGACCCACTCCATTTAATTCTTTAGCAGACCTGAACCAGGTCACCACCATTGTTCACTCACACTATGGCAATTGCCTCCCAACAATTCTTCCTGCTTTTACCATTGCCATATTCTAATCTGTTCTCTACATAGAGGCCACGTGATCTTTTAAAGACAAGAATCTAAACATGTAATTTCTCCCATTTGAAAACTCTCTACTGGCTGCCCGTTGATCTTAAAAGAAAACTCAAACTTTCTGTGATGCCCAGTGAACTGGCCCCAGCCCACTCCTTCTCCAACAACCCCTTCCCATCCAATAATCTAAGTGTCTTCCCACTCAGTCTGTTTTCTTTTCTCCATAGTTTTTTTTTTTTTTTTTTTTTTTTTTACCACCACCTGATATTTGCTTGTTTCTTGTGCATCTTCCTCCCTCTACTCCCAATGACTATGAAACCATGTGTGTCTTAGGTACAATTTCTCAGGCCCTTAACAATGCATGGTACATAGGAAGTAGGTACTCAAATATTTGTTGGATGATGGTTGGTGGATGATAAGGTCACACAGGGAGTTGGATCTCAATTAGAGGACATTATTAAAATCAGGCTACATTTAAACTTTTTAAAAAATATGTTTTCATTGATTATTTTAGAGAGAGAGGAAGGGAGAGAGAGAGAAAAACATTGATTGGCTGCCTCCTGCACGCCCCCTACTGGAGATTGAGCTGGCAATACAGGCATGTGCCCTGACTGGGAATTGAAGCAGGACCTCTCAGTCCTTGGGACGATGCTCAATCCACCGACCCACACCAGCAGGGCTGTTTGAACTTTCTACAAGGCTTCAGGGAATGATATTTCTTAAAAGTGTATAATGAATATTTGCTTCTAAGTATTCAGAATGGGCAAGACTACACTTTAGAAAGAAGAAAGCTGCTCTGGCTGGTTTGGCTCAGCAGTTAGAGCATTGGCCTGTGGACTGAAGTGCAATGGGTTTGTTTCCTGATCAAGGGCATGAACCTAGGTTGCAGGTTTGATCCCCAGCCCTGGTTGGGATCATGCGGGAGGCAACCAATCAATGTGTCTCTCTCACATTGATGTTTCTCTCTCTCTCTCCCTACCTCCTTATCTAAAAATCAATGACAAAGTATCCTTGGGTGAGGATTAACAAACAAACCAAAAAAAAAAAAAAAACCAAAAAAAGAAAGAAAGCTGGATAAAGAAGACCAGAGTCTATTGACTCTATTCTTGAATGTATAGCAACTGAGAATAATTTTGGTAGGAAAGACTAATTTAGATATAAATTTGGAAGGGATATGTAAACAATGTGATTAATTTTGTAAGTGAGTCTAGAGATCCTAGAGATCCAAGACTGATGTCTTAAGAAGACAGATGAATCTATGTGGGAACAGAACATGAATTGAGTCTTGGTGACACTCATATTAGGGCCCAAGAGAATGAAGAATGAGAAAAAGACCAGGAGAAAGAATAAAACTGGAGACAGAAAAAGAGAATATAGTTTCAGAGGCACTACTGGTAACAGCTGGCAACTACGAGGACAGGGACAAGTCCCAAGACCAAAGCACCATCAGCCAGCCATGGCGAGATAGGAGAACACGTCAGCGGAGGCTTTGTTGTGGTGACTTTGCCTGTTTTAAAGCATTAGTCTCTTTAGGAGTTTGGGTAAGAATACCTACAACTTGTCTGCAAATCTGCAAGTGAAAAATGCAAATTACTTCCTGGAATTGACTGATCCCTCCTACAACCCCAGCACAGCTGTCTGGAGAAGTGGAAAGTGATGCAATGATTCAAAGGAACATTAAGGAAGCTCTCAACCATTCTGTTGATAAGGTCATGTTAGCCGCCTCCCCAATCCTCACCTCCCATGTAGAGCAGAGGGGCCTCCAGGACATCCATAGTCCTTTAGTTGCTCTATATTTAGCAGGAGAATCACCTCATATAAACTGGCTTAAAACAATCTCAGGCTTTAGATTAATTCAATTAAAAGTTCAAGCTGGAGGAAGCTTTACCATCAGCAACACAGCAGAAGCCAGCACATTGGGAAGAGGAGAGAAGAATGTTGCAGGAGAGTCTCAGCCCTGGAAGATCAGGCCAGAGAGTAACCATGTCCTCTCCTCTCATCTCATCTCAAATTGTGCCCATAAAGAAGAACAGAGTTGCTTTTAATGACTGAAAGGTAAATCATCACTAATAATTCTGACCCCCTGTAAAATATCACCTCAAAAGTTTTCTAGTTGCTGTAATAACCAATTTCAGGGGCAATCTAAGATGTGGGTTTAATGAGAAGCTATATCCTACAACTCCAGGATAGACTGCACATGGCATTTTATAAGTCTGGACTACACTAGTATTATGGGCCTATTTCAGGGAGCAATGACCCTAACATATTGGTTACATGTCAGGAGTGTTGGACACTTATTATTAATGTTGCTTTGTTTAATCCTAAAGTAGAGATAGCCCCATTGTGCAGGTCAGGAAACCATCTCAGGCATCATTTCCCACAGAAACCCAGAGTTCCTATAGCTGTTACATAGCAGGGCCAGGACTTCAGCCTTGATTTGTCTGATCCCTGCATCAGTGCTCTGGTTCACTAGGCTTTGCAGCAAACAATCTGTAAAAAACGTCTTATTAGGAGAACACCCAGTCACCACCATGGCACTTAGCATGTAAGATGAGATGTTAGAAAGTAGGGAAGCACATGTTTTAGGCAATGGAAACAATGTGGCCGCCTCACAACACTGGTATGTTTGCCACCTAATTGCTGCTCACCCACTCTAAATTCATGAGACTATTTGAATGTGCGTAAGTAAGAGGCCAGTTTGGTACGAGGAGATAAAATACTTTTGCTACTGAGGAGGCCCAAGCCAGTGCCTGGCTCTAAGACCATTGCCATGGGAACCATTCTATCCTTCTGCCACATTCCAGAAGGTATGGCCATGAGGAACCTTGGAAGTGGATCCAGGGGTTCAGATGGCTGCCACATTCCTTCAAACCAAATATCAAATATGAGATGGCATAAGCAGAGAAAGCTCAACTTCAAATCAGACAGGGCCTTTCCTCCCCCTAAGGCATCTTGAGGGAACAGTTTGAAAGTCACAGATTTGGCCAAACCACTTCATTGGGGGACAGTCTGCAAAGCCAGCTGCAAAGCAAATCCTGGTTTTCACAAGCTTCTCTAGTCACAGCTCAAAGTGTGCTTCCTTCCCTCACAGTGCTATTTGTAGCATCCAGGAGAGCTGGCTATCCTGTCATTCTTCACCAGTAGCTTCTGAATTTGAGCTTCAGAGAAAGCCAAACTTGTTATTTAGGCAAACACCACCAACACCATGAACTAACAGGCTTTATCTACACACACACACACACACAGCCTCAGGCCAGCTCTGCTGCTCCTCACACAGAGACACCTGTCCTGGGTAGCAGGTGGCTCTAGGACCTACTCAAGGGACCCTGGACAATCTTATTAATGGTTCTGAGTCATGTTTTCTGGTTGGGGCATTATAGGACACTAAAAAAAGATTCTTATTGATTTTTAAAGCAAGAGGAAGAGGGAGGGGGGAGAGAAACTGACTGGCTACCTCCTGTTTCCTGCAGGCCCCACACTGGGGATGGAGCCTACAACCCAGGCTTGTGCCCTGACCAGGCATGGAATCAGCCATCCTTTGGTGCATGGGTCAGTGCTCAGCCAACTGAGCCACACCGGCCAGTACCTGGACATTTTGTGTTTTTCTATGCATTTCTCGATGTAGCCAAGCTTTGACTGTGAGCATCTTTCATGAACTGAGAACTGTGTTAAATTAAGATATATTTCATCATCCAAGAGTTGGCTACTCTAAAGCAGTATTTTTTTCACTTTAAATTAACGCAGCCTCCAGAAATGTGTTGAGCATTAACTACCAATAACCCTGCTCCTCCTCCAAGTTAACCATTGAATACTCACACCACCTTCTACGTGCTCCAGTTCTCTGCATGTGAACTTTGGGGCTCATTACAAAAGGGGAACTTCATACATAGTTCTGGGTCTCGTTCCTCTTCTTTGCCTGTACTGTGGACATTTTTTGATATCAGTGTGTTGAGATCTATATCACTAACAGACAGTTTTTCAAAGAAGGTGGGATTAGTTTTAAGCTAAAACTACACATGGGGTTGGAGTGAGTGAAGCTTGTTCCCCAGAAAGAACTGAGCCGACCTCTGCTCCAAGGTGTGCAGGTCAGCAAGCTGACGCTGCCAGGGCTGGGTGGGATTTCTGGGCAGGAGTTTCAGGCCGCAGGAACAGAGCCCCATCTTGGCATCCTTTGGCTCCCCATAGGCATTTGTCAACATTCAAAAGACACATCCAGACACTATGTTTGATGCAGGGAGGCACACAGCCAGACCTCCCTCCAGGGCTCACACTAGCCCAGAGGGGAGGTAGGTGTCACAGCAAAGAAGGAGGCAGAAGCCAGGCACTCTTCCCAGTGATCCCACCTCCCAGGCTTGGGAAGGCTTTGTGGGAGGGGCAACAGGTGAAAATATCCGAAGAGATATTTTAGGGAGAGAGAACATAAGCAAAGGCAC